AGTGAACGTCCGAACCACAGATTTCAGTTGTTATTGCATTTTCACTGCCTGATTGTAAAGTTTGACAGATCAGAAGACAGACATATAATCTCCCAATGCCACGGAAAAAAAAAAAAACCCAAAGGCTTAGCGCAGAACAAATCAGCCTTTTGTCTTGTTCAATTCAAATCAAAGGATAACCAGGAATGTTTGTTTGACAACAGCATTTACTATGCATTGTTTCCGAGCCCAGAGCCTCCAAAACAAAGACAGATAGGCTTTAAACAAGTCATTTAATTAGCACCGGATCCACAGCTTTGGCTGCGCCAACCAATTATACATTCCTGAGGCATGTGCAGGCCCTATTTCACAGCAGCGAGAGGCAGATTTTCTCCAGCCCTGTCTCTTACAGTACATCTCTCCTTTTCCATTTAAGAGAAGGTAAATAGCCCAGACAGACAGCTTCATTAGCCAGCATCTGAAGAGCGCGGGGCCGATTGTCGCTTAAATAGTGCGCTTTTACTGCAAGGCCCAGGCGGCGACCTCCGATCAATTACAGCTGACATTATTGTTTGTCTGAAGCTTTTTTCCTGGACAGAAGGAGTAAAAAAAAAAACGAGATCAGGCTTGAGCTTTGGCTGGAAATGTAATCTTCCCCCTCTCTTTGCTTCTTTGGCTCCACAAACAATAAATCATTCAGTTGAAGAGATAATAAAGTGCCAAGTAGGAGCTAGTTTAATTTTTGTCAGGGGAAATCTGTCCACAACAGAGTTAAGGGTACGGGGGCCGGCTGCTAGCACCGTAGCGTTTTCAATGACAAAGGCTTAGTTTCCTTCTTTTTCTCCCTTATTTCCCTCTGTAGGCTGAGATGGCCACAAAGCCATGAAGTCCCATTTAGATGAAGATTAACTGCAGCACAAATCACTGCAGGTTATCATTTCTGTCATCAAAATAAATTACTGCTCGCTATTTAATCATTTTAAAACATGCAGCGTTCAATCTTTTTTTTTTCTTTACCGCCTGATTCTTTTAAGTATTGGACCTGTCGTCGGCCGCAGCGTTGAGGTTCTGATGTAACAGCTTTTTAATCATGTTGTTACCGAGGGCTGTTTTAATTCATTCAATTCATCCTGCCATGATTCAGATCTTTGCTTATCCACGCGTGAACTCCTGAGCGCGGCACAACATAATAGCTGAGCTGTTTATATTGGTATTAAGTGATTTGTAGTTTTAATGATGGTAAATAGGAGTTCAACCTCTGCCGGTCCCTCAGGCTTACTGCAGGTAAATGACTCCAAATGTATGGTTTATGCCCTTCAGGAGGGGTCGGGGGGGATGGGAGAGGAGGTGCAGCAGAGAGGGCTGATGGGAATTCACCTTCTCCTATCAGGTTTCAAACTTCTGCTTCATAAATGCAAACTGGCAAACAGTGCATTTCTGATGGAGCAGCTGCAGAATATCCAGGTGATGAATGAGTCTGGGAAATATTGTGGAGTCTTTTTGTAAAAGAATA